CAGTGGGCGGCTACACAGGTTGCAAAAGAATATCCAATTCTATTCAAGTCTAAGGTAAAATTATCCTACTTCTCCTGGGATCTATGTCCTCGCTAAATGCATTCGTGATGAATTTATTGGCTTAATTGCTAGTTATGCATCCTACTGAGTCCCATGTGATGTTAATTTTGTAAACCATGGTCAAACCTTGTGATTTACCAGAGAATGCAGAGCCCATGATTCCTAAAAAATTCTCCCTCTTGATGTCACATATGATTTCAAAGCAAAAACATGGTCAAAATCATTACATATAGACTATTAATCTGAGCGTTACGTTCCCCTGAGTGGTGTACAAGGTGAGGGGGGAGTAACAAAAAGTGTCCAGGTCAGAAAAAGGAGTCAAGGAGGCAAAAGGGTTCAATTAAAGAGTTTTATTAAAGTTTCTGTTAATATTCAACTAAAAGAGACGGACAAGCCGCTATCACCATTTAAGGAAACAAACAAATTAGTCAATTATTGGTCAATAAAGTAAAACATAAGTCAAAAAGAGAGAGGGCAGCTCACTAGCTGCACATGGCACTCTGGGCCAGAGCTCACCTGTCCCTGGGCTTAAATCCCTTTAATTACTGACGAGAGTCAGCTGCACAAAAGAAAAAGGTGGCAGCTAAGGCAGGAGAGATTGAAGGACACGCCCACACAGGCACCTTCAGGAGGAGGCCCTGCTATACAGTCTATGATGATTACTATTATAAATAACTCAATACCTGTGCTATAAATTAGGAGAACTGGAATACATCCTAGTAGTATATTAATTGTAATGTCGCTTTCAAGTTAAAGCCAAAATACTTGCCATCAATCATTTTAATATAGAAACTACTTTTTGAAGCCACTACAAATAAAATTTCAGTCAAAAAAGTCAAAATGAGTGCATGTAGATGTTGTAAAACCAGGACGAAATATAAAGCATAATATAACATTTGTGTCTTTGGCACAATGTGATTATCCTACAGGCATCATTTAACCGGTCACGTATCTTTTTTGAGTACTGTGTTGTTTCTGTGTGTTTGCGTGTGTGCATGAAGAGTGAAGGAGACAAAGGACAAGGGAGGGAGCCCCTGTGAGGTGAGACGGGTAAGCCTGTTGCTTGTAGCAGAGTTAGTCAGGATTAGGACATGTATCTGTGGGATAAGACCGAGTTACTGGGACCCTACAGTGCTCCAGCTAACACCATCTGTCCTAACAGTCCAGGTCTATCCTCAAATCAGTCACTCTCTCATTCCCTCGGTCTTATCTGTCTGTATTCTCTTACTCATGTCTCCTGCTTTTTGTCAACAAGTTGTTTCCTCCTGCTGTTTGTAGTTGGCCTCATCCTGAGTTTCTCAGTAGCTCCTGTGGTGAAGGAAGTAAGGGGGGGAGTACAGTCCAAATAGTCCAAGTCATGTCCTCTGTTGGCCTTCAGAGCCTCTAAGTAGTAATTCTGAAGGCTATGAAACCGGATTAAGAGCTGATAGGGGGGTCAGTGTCACATTCAGGGGGTCAGGGCCAATAGCCTGCTCAAGTTTTCGGAGTCTTTTCTGCCAGATCATCAATTTACATCTAAAAGCATCCTGCAAGGGAGTGTTTCCAGTCGTATCTGTTGTGAAGAAATGTTAGCGTAATAGTGCATGATGTATTTTCTTTCTAAATATATTGTAAGACTAATATATTTTTATCGGCATGGATGATATTAAGTCATAGCGTGCAGTCAGTAAGCTTAACATGAAGACAGGAAACAGGATACGATGTCATCACAGTTAGCCTGGCAAAGCTAAGCTAAACATTTCCTCCGCAAATCAAATCCAGACTACGCTTTGCAAAGAGTGTGTCTTTATAGTTATTTCCCTACATCATGTCATCATGTTGTACTTTGTTTTCTTTTGTGAATTGTTGTGTTTTTTGCTTTCTGTCTTTATTCCTTTCTTTCTCTTTGCTGTGTCTCGTAAACTAATCAGCCTGCCATCTATATTTAGTTTTTATTTACCTCTCTCATCATCTGTTTCCCCTCATGTGCAATCCCATGTTTCTTGCCTTTGTCCCCAGTGCCTAACTTTTTCTGTTAGTTTGGATTTTTTTTTTTCTTACCTTCTGTTATTACTGGGCTTTGGCTTATCAGCTTTTTGAGGTTTCAGAAAGCGGAGGTTTCAGTTTTGCATTAAAAAGCTTCTGTGTTTGGCTCAATATATCATCGTACTCTAATTAAAGTATGCCAGACATGATATGGAAAAATTATGGTAATGAAAAGAAAAGTAATTGTTTTTGTTCCAACTACTTGTTACCAAGTTACAGCTGGACTTTGCATACAATATGCTCAAATATGATGCTACTCTGCTTCAAGGAGTCAGAGCTTCTTTGATATATGATGACATAATTTTCTAATTATTACAAGAATCTTTTTGCTACTACTACTACTACTCTATGTAAGAAAAAAGCTTTTGTGTCACTGTGTGTTTAATGTGATAAAACAACACCAGCCAGTCAACATACCGGTCGACCTCTACTACGTTATCTTAATCACACGACCTCAAAACTTACCTTTGCCTCTAAAATAAAAGAGCAAACGAACAGTGAATCATTTGAATCAACTTCAGGTCACACCTGCGTGTAAGGCACACTGAGATGCTAAAAGATAAATGTGTGTAGATGCAGGAGGAGTGATTGTGTGTTTGTCATGAAGTATGAGGTAAGTTCCTTTGTGTCTCTCCCTCTCTTTGTCCCTCGCCCTCACAGGAGGCCCTGTTGGTTTAGCTGCTAAGCTTTCCCCGGAAACACAAATGATGGCCAGATAGAGAGGTTAAAGTAGAGAGCAGAGGAAACAGAAACTGAAAGAAGAGAACAGAAGCTTTTTACCTTTAAATTCTTTTCTATTTTACTATGTCTATTAAATCTTATTTAGCTGTCAGTAACATCTCTGCTTATTAAAGATTTATTTTTTTAATTACATAGTAAAATACTAAACTGTTTATCAGTCTTGTGCTTTTTTTTTCCACGAGTCAGCATGTCTGCTTTCAATAAAGGTTTTGTTTACAGTCCAAATCAGATTTGTGAAGGCACTATTAACTTACTGATTCCTGAACGAGACGCTATTAAGACACTGAGAGACTCGGGATTAACAAGTTTAGCTTTTAAGGAGCATCGAGAAACGCTTGTTGTGCATTTCCCTGCAGACTTAAATGGCTTGGAAGAAGAAAAAAAAACAGCATTAGTTCACAGATTTTGATCCTAACTGTGAGAGGCAGGGTAGTAAGGCGACGCGGGGGGTGCTAATTTCAAATCACGAACCTCTTTGTTGAAATGTTTTGGGTCTGTACCCACAGAGATGAATATCTACCAGCTGAAAACATATCCAGTTAGTGAGATCATTGTTCACTGATACATTTTCAGTCATACATCTAAATTATCAGTCTTTTATGCTTAAAATGATATTAACTTATACTGCTACAAATTAATCCAGACATAATGAAGCACAGAAGTGCTGTTTGCCTTTGGGGCCAGTAGGCAATACATAATTAAGACTCATTACTTTGTTTGAATAAATCCATAAATGGGATGAGCTTAATGGGTGAATCACTGCTGGTATGTATTTATTTAATATTAAACAGTGGTAATAGAAATTACACCAGAAAACATTCAATTCAGTTTTATTTATATAAAGCTAAACCACAACAGCAGTCACCTCAAGGCAATTTATATTGTAAGACAGAGACCTTCAATAATGCAGAGAAAATAATGAGAAATATTAGGCATCAAATGCACAAAAGCAATACTATGAAAATTATAGATATTGTATTGTATCAGTGGATATAATTACTTTTATGTAGACTGTCAACATAAAACCATGTTAGAATAAACCAACAGCCAGCTGGTTTAGATATTCAAAACCTGTGTTATATATTTTTTTTATTTTCTCTGGGAAATTTAGCACGATGAATTTTAAAAAGTGAATATATTCAAGTAAGATAAAAGTACCTTGAAATTGAACCAAAGCACAGTACATGAGCAGATTGCACCTCTGCTGACAAGTACGTTGGACACTGGTTTAAATTGACAGTGTCCAATTGCTGCAACACAATTTTTATCTAAATCCTGTAATTTAAAACAATTTTTTTCAATAAATTCCCCCATTTTTCTTTGTTCTTCTGTGGGTTGTTGTTGTTTTTGTGTTACCTGTATAATCTGTGAGTCTCGAGTAAACATCCAGTGACCTTAATAGTAATACTCTACAGCTTCTTCTTTTTAAAGCATCTTCCATTGCAGTGAAACATTTGAACAAAAAGGCACCAATCAGATGGAAAAACAACACAATAAGTGTATGGTTTTAGACTCATTTGACCTTATGTGATTACAGTGACAGGGTCTGTGGGTTAGAGAGTTTTTAAAACTTTGTCTTTAACCTGGTTGACTGTAACAACTCACAGGTTCAATATTTAACAGCATTTTAGCGTTAAAGCAGAGCTGCTCTTGACTCATTTTCAGTTCAGTATATGTGACTATCCACTGTGAGGCAGCACAGAGCCTACAGTCCAACTTGCAGCAACACAATTGTTAAAGTTGTTATGTCCAAGAGATAAATATTCAGAGATAGTTGAGTAAACTTTCATGAAGTGTCAGCGATACTTGTTTTGCAGAACAACAGTTTTGAAATGTAGTTGATGAAGGAAGCGGTGCATGTATGAAGTGTTTTTGCTTCTTTTGCAAGAAATTTTATGTCGCATCAAAGGAGAGAGTTGGAAATTTGGAGGTATGTGTGTGGGGTGTATGCAAGGAAACAGAAACGTGTAAAACAAGAAGAGAAAAAGAAACAGGAGTACAAAATATGAGATGGGGTGACAGAGTGAAGCGGGGGAGACTTTGCCAGAGAGCGTGAACATGCCTGTGAACTATGAGAGAGGGATGTGGAGGGGAGAGACGGAGAGAGAGAGAGAGAGGAGGGGATTGCTGCAAACAGGGATTTGCAGCAGAGTGGACAGAAAGAAAGGGGGCAGTGGCACTCAGTAGCAGAGTGCTATACACACTCACATGCGCACGCACATGCACACACACACGCTGTTTCCTCTGTGTCTCTTTCCAAACGTGTCAGTCAACCAGTCAGTCGATTATTTGTGTTTGTGTGTGTGTTCAGTGGGGACGTTGACAAGAGCTCGTAACCATCCTTCTTCTCTATGACCGACGGTAAGATCTTTTCAGTCACTTTGCCTGTTTGACCGTCTCTCACACCGGGCCTTTATCTCGGCCTGCTTTCACTCTACTTTTTCTGTCATGTGTGTGTTTTTGCTGTAACTCTGGTCCGGAGCCAGACTGAGGCCTCCATGGAGCCCTGTCACTGTTTGCTTTCTTTTACAATCCATTTTGAGCCACAGGGGGTGAAAGTAATGAGCAGTGAAGCAGAGGCACTAGTCAAAGGTGGACTTTTTTAATTAGGTGTTCATTTTATTAATAACAACTATTAAATCTGAAGGAGTGTAATTAGTATTGGCGGAAACCACTTGCAGCTTTCTTTGATGCACTTACCCCTGTAGCATAATGGAAGTGTTGAACTTTTCAGTTATATTGTGAGGACACTACTTTTAGCCTCTTCATTTGTTTTTGAATGTTTTGACTTATTATGTTAATATTTAACTCATTTATCGTCTCAGACTTTCTATAAGTTACTCTAAAATATTGTCATGTAACTCTTTTTTTGTGTAAAACGAGTTTTTGAACATGAATTTGACAGCAAATGCATAAAAAAGGTCACATTTTACTATCTTGATATGTTACTTTTAACTTGTTATCAATTTTTGCTAAAAGTAAATTTACAGCTGTATAGAATTTTGGAAAGTCGTGGCCTCTGGATTAAAGTCTGAAGTGCTCGATAATTGGATTTGCTCTCTGAGACCTGTGGATCTTTCTGTCAAAAATGATTAAGCCTGTGAATTCCTCTGCTTCAACTGCTTATGAGTTCAGCGAGCGGATGTTTCTAGATATATTGCATTTCCTGAGCAACCTGGAAAGTATTTCTACATGGAAGTATTCCAAATGCAAAACCTGACATGCAGAAGAAGATGTTGTCAAAAGGCATCTGACAGCACATTTTATTCAGTTTCTTCATTTAGCCAGGAGATCTTAAAAAGAAGAAATGTGACGCTCAGTACTGATATAATTACAAGAGAGGAAATGCACTTTTAAAGTGCACGAAACTTTGTGTTTTTTATGTACACAGACTGCTTACATGTGTGGGATGCAAGAGGTGTGTGCTGCAGATTCGTGTGTTAATATACAAACACAGCCTACCTTGATGTTTACCCATTTCTAACTGATCCTTTTTTTTAAGGCATTTCATGATAGAATCAGTTTGACTGGAATATATATATATATATATTTCCGTCAAACTGAAATGGTTAAATTAAAGGGGGTCTTTAGATGTATTCATGAATGAGCTGACAGAGCTTGGGAAGTACTTAAAGGAGTAGTGCAATATCTAATTTAAATTCAAGGCTGGAAATTAAGTTCAAATGAAAATAATCTGGATGTAGATGTATGTGAGCTTACCACTCCTCTGCAGCCTAAGGCCTGCAACACAACACACCTCAAAGATCATTGTCAGCTTTTATTATGGGTAATGTAGGCTTCCAGTTTTAATAAGGAAAAAGAACGAGTGAAGTTAAATAAAAAACACATATTTCTGGTTCGATGCATCATTTCTTAGCTTTCTTTTAATTAATTATGAGTGCTAAATCTATGCTGCACAAAATTAGTAACATTAATTACAGCTTATCAGCTCTTTATAGACAACATCAACCACCCATTACTCTTATCCCTTCCATCCAAACCCTTTTTTCCCTTTTTGTTTCTTCAGGACAAAAGAAACAGAGACAAGGAAAAGGGGACATACAGTTTCTCACAAAAGAAACTCACCAACCAGTGGACTTTCTGACATCACCACTGCCGCTGTCTATGAACTGCACTGAGTCAGAGGACTGGACTTTTCAACAATCCTGACACACGTAAAAACCCTGTTGAAGCTCCCGCCAGCAGCAGCAGCGACAAACATCATGTCCTCTCCTTCCCTCCCCATGCCTTCCCTCCCCCCAAGCCCTTTGGCCATGGAATACCTAAACGACTTTGACCTTCTCAAGTTTGAGGTCAAATCTGACACTCCTCCGCTCCCTCCTCCATGTGCGTACCCTAAATCTGGTACCCATGACCCCTCCAGCTCTCCGTACACCAGCCACCCACCACAGGACTCCAGCTTGAGCTCCAGCCCTTACAACTCACTGCCACCTTCGCCCACATTCAGCGATGCCCACCCACCCCCTTCGGGCTCTTCTTCTCTCTCTTCATCGTCCTCCTCCATCTCCTTTCCCCTCTCCATACCCAACAGTCTCACTTCCAACATCAGCTCCGGCTCTCAGGGGAACGTGGAAGGCAGTCCAGCCCACGGCGGCCCTCAAGGTCCGACCCCAGCCTCTCTGGAGGACCTGATCTGGCTGGCCGCACTGCAGCAACAGTTTGGAGGTGAGGTGACGGGGCCCGCCACTTTGCTGGGAGCCTTGGGAGGGGTACCAGAGAGAGTGGACCGAGAGAGAGGGCAGGTGAATGGCTTCCTGGGGTGTGAGGATGCTGTGGAGGCTCTACTGAACTCAGCTGCAGCAGCTGTTAGCTCACAGGTAAGAATTTCTTATGCTATGTCAGTGTTATTATTCATTATACATATACCCACTAAACAACTGACTTTATACTTCTCTCTCCCTTCATCATTTGCACTTCCTCTTTTCAGTTCCCAGGTCTTTCTCAGAGTTCAAGCAGCAACCTGGGAGACTCAAGCAGCGACAGCGGAGGTGACATCTCCTGCGCCAAAGCAGCAGACATCTGCCATCGCCCACTCGTCTTCCTCTCATCAGGCCCTCCCTCCCTCCCCAACACTAACCCTGCTTCTGCTCCATACCCCCAACCCCTCAGCCCCCAGGGCCGCCTTCATCACCACCAGCATCACCACCAGCATCACCATCATCAGCATCACCCGCACCACCCCATGCATGGCAACCATCACCATCATCACCACCCACAAACCAATCAGGTACAAATCTATCCAGAATTGAAGAGAGGGCCTCATTATGATTATAATATTCAGCAGGAAGCGTTAATCAGTAAACCATGAGAAATTCCTGGAGGGAAAAGACGTGAAGCGAGAAAACAGTCGCATTAAAAGGCTGGGCAGAAGGAGGGAGCGATGGTCCAGCAAAGGATTAGGATTAGGCCATTACAACATGGTTATTAATGTCTTTGTCTATCTGAAGTATCACTTTAAGGATTGTTTTCCACATGGCAACAATAAGGGAAGATAAATCTTTACCTAAGGGAAAATTTGGGAACATTTTTTCCCAAAACAGTTTAGCAGCTGCAGGTATTCTGTAATTTAATTTAGTTATAATCTGACATCTGTAAATCTCTAAATGTTAGTATTTTAAAAGGTATACTGTAAATTTGCATTATTACAATAAAGGATGCACCAAGATTTTGGCTCAATGTTGCAGATTGTTATGTGATGCCAGTTTGGTGGTGACTAAATCTTGAAAGACCTAAAAAAAAAAAAAAAAGTTAAGCCACTTTTTCTAATTACTTTGTAATAATTTCTCAGTTTTCGTTACAAATAATGGGGAATAAATAGAAGCAAAGGCATAGAAGCTCATGGGTGGTGCATCCCTTCATTCATTAACTGTATATACAGCCGGCCTGTTATTGGTGTCCTCAGGAAGAAAAATGTTTATCGATAAGTATTTCTGCTTAAAACTACATTAGTATCTTATTAATAACTCAGTTGTGAATATTCTGCTCTGCATGTAAAAGGTAAATAAACTTTGTAATCTGTGTTCTGGTTGATCAAGATGTCTGGGTGGATCTCTATATGGAACACAGTGTGAGCTTATGATAATATCTGCTATTATTGCTGTGGGTAATCCTGATAACTGTCTCCCACACTTAGTCAGATTACATGACAGATTATAGACATGTGGTGCCAGAATGTGCCCCCTGACAGCCAGGCACACTCACACACCACACACGCACACTCAGTTTGACACATCATGTGTACACCATTCATGCCATATATGAATCTAAAGCTTTGCCAGAACCAACTTCACACCCTGCACACCCTCCCATAATTTCCTGCATGTGTCTTGTTGCCAATTAATGGTGAGAAACAGCATATTCTTTATGTGTGTCGTCTCCATCTGTTCCTCAGTGCGGGGCGAACGAGCGTTTCTCTGATGAGCAGCTGGTGAGCTTGTCAGTGCGCGAGTTGAACCGACACCTGCGTGGAGTGAGCAAGGACGAGGTGGTGCGCTTGAAGCAGAAACGCCGCACGCTAAAGAACCGAGGCTATGCCCAGTCCTGCCGCTACAAGCGTTTACAGCACAGGCACGCTCTGGAGTCTGAGAAACATTTGCTTACCCAGCAGGTACACAGTCTTCAATTTCTTTTCATAAGTGTCAAACCTGAGATTTTGCCTCTTTTTCTACACTGGCATTAATCATTAATATCAGCCAGCTTTTTAATGGGAAATTCTGGTTTTAAAGTAGGTGAGGACAGCAAAAACATGCAGCATCTGACATAACTGCTGACACACTCTGCAGATAGAATAAATAATGCACTCCAAGTGAGCATCTTTGCACTTTAGCTCAGCGAAGCGCAGATAAATTACAATCTTTCTACTCCTTTGTCATCAGTTGGAACAGCTACAGTGCGAGCTGACTCGAGTGCTGAGGGAGAGAGACGCCTACAAGGCTCGCTATGAGAAGTTGCTCAGCACAAACCATGGTACCGGTGGTGACGCCCAGCCGACCCACACCAGCAACCCACCTTCCCCACCCCCTGACTACTTCCTCTGAGTTTAATCCACAGGGGTGCACAAAGAAAATAGACAAGCCAGCGTGGAGCAATCAATAATGAGTAATCAGACTTGGAGCGAAGAAACAAGAACGTGTATGTGTGTGTGTGTG